TGGGATCCATGGGATGGGATCCATGGGATGGGGTGGGATCCATGGGATGGGATCCATGGGATGGGATGGGATCCATGGGATGGGATGGGATCCATGGGGTGGGATCCATGGGATCCATGGGATGGGGTGGGATCCCTGGGATGGGATGGGATCCATGGGATGGGATCCATGGGATGGGGTGGGATCCATGGGATGGGATGGGATCCATGGGATGGGATCCATGGGATGGGGTGGGATCCATGGGATGGGATGGGACTCTGGGATCCCACAGGGACCCTGACCCTCCCTCGGGGTTCTGGGATCTCCTCCTGTCCCTGACTCTTCCTCTGGACCCCGGGATCCCCCCCGCACCCCGGGATCCCCCGGGATCCCCCTCAGCCCGGGCCCGCTCCGGACTCGCCCCTCCGCAGGCGCGGACGCCCCCCGGCTGCTGCCGAAGCTGTCGATGAAGCTGCGGCCGCAGCGGCAGCACAGCTCGGACGCTGCCTCCGCTCCCCCGGAACCGCACCCGGAGCTGGACGAGAGCCTGGAGGAGCCCCTGGAAGCGGCGGCCGAGAGCAGCACCAAGTCGGAGCCCACCACCCCCAAAGCCCCCCGGGCGGGGCCGGGGGTCTGCGGCCGCTCCCGCGCCGAGAAATGCGCGGGGCTGCACATCTCGGGCCCCTTCTCGGTCACCGTCCCCTTCCACATCACCTCCAACCTGTCCCGCCTCACCCGGGGGCTCCCGTGCCCCGCGCTGGAACGGGAAACTCCCCCCGGCAGCGCCCCCGAGCCCGCCCGGGACCCCCGGCCCCGCTCCGGTGAGACCCCGGCGTGGGACCCCCGCGGGATCCGGGGGACACCGGGAGAGAGGGGACACCGGGAGAGGGGGGACACCGGGATCGGGGAGATAACGGGATCCGGGGGACACCGGGAGAGAGGGGACACGGGGAGAGGGGACACAGGGATAGGGGGGACACCGGGATAGGGGGGACACCGGGATAGGGGAGATAACGGGATCAGGGGGACACCGGGAGAGAGGGGACACGGGGAGAGGGGACACAGGGATAGGGGGGACACCGGGATAGGGGGGACACCGGGATCGGGGAGATAACGGGATCCGGGGGACACCGGGCCACTCGATCCCGTGGGAGAGGGGGGACACCGGAATTATGGTGACACCGGGACTGGGGGGACACCGGGATCGGGGACACACCGGGATCGGGGACACACCGGGATCGGGGACACACCGGGATCGGGAGGGCAGGAGGGTCTGCGGAACACTGGGATCAGGGATACACCGGGATTGGGAAGACCCTCGGATCGGGGGAACACTGGGATGAGGACGATCGGGAGGACCCCGGCATTGGGGGGACACTGGGATTGGGAGGATCCCGGGATCCCACTCGATCCCGGGATCCACTGCTCCCGGTTTTGCCCGCAGGAGATGCGGAGCAGACACGGCTCTCCCTGGAGCTCCGCGATTCCTTCGCCTTCCTGGACGGCCCCGAGACGTGGCTGGAGGGCGGCGGGGACACGGACGCGGCGGCGCGGAGTCCCGGGATCGAGGATGGAACCCCCGGGATCGAGGATGGAACCCCCGGGATCGAGGATGAGACCACCGGGATCGAGGATGGGACCCCCGGGATCGAGGATG